AGCGTTAGGTTTAGCGTTAAGCTTAGGGTTAGGTTTAGGGTACTGAGTGCTTGGGAATGCGCGGATTTGCCCTCCGCGATTATGTCATCGCGGTAGGGTCGCATTTTTCCTTAGCGCTTAGAATGGCGTGAATTAGTCTTCGCGCTTATGTCTCCGCGGATAAGGGCTTTGCAGATTTGTGGTGGAACCCTGTAGTATAGGGTTTTTAAGAAGGGATTGGACAACCATTTTTCTGCAATGGTATAGGGCCTATACCATTGCAGAAAAATGGTTGTCCAATTCCTTCTTAAAAACGTCCAGTTTGGACCACCCACAACTTCTGGAGGCAAGTCGTTCCACAGTTTATTGTCCTCAATGTCAGGAAATTTCTCCTTAGTTCTAGGTTGGTTCTCTCCTTGATTAGTTTCCATCCATTGCTCAGAAGCTTCATTTTCGCTGGCAGAGTCATCGCGAGCTGCTCTTTCGCTGTTTCCAGGGTGGCCCTGTGGACCAGATCTAAGCACCCCATGGGCCAGATCTGGCCTCTGGGCCTTGAGTTTGACACCCCCTGTGCTAGAGCAATTATCGATTTCCTAATCACTGTGTGCTTAACTTTTAAGATAAATTGAATTTCCAGCAGAGAAGCTAGAAAAGCAGGTTCACAGGAAGCAGACAGATCCAGACAGGGCAGCTGACTGATTTCATATGCCAGAAAAATTCCTTGCAACAAAATGAGTCAAGCTGTACTTTTATTAGATAGTGAGCAGCACTGCCTGGTGGCCATAAATTACATCATGCTGCGGTTAGAAAGAGACAAAAACCATGAATAAGGAATGCTGGTTATGTCCTTAAGTGACTTGAGACCAGATGAGCAGAGTTCAGCCTTAAAAATTTGCACTTTACCTAAAGATATTCGGGTGAGAACACATTTTTAGTTTATCTGATTAATTGTTTGAGTGAACACTCAAAGACAAGAATTCTTAAGACAGGAACATACCACCCAAAGATGCCGGTCTTCTGGCACACGGATTATTACACTCAGATCATTTTCTGTGATATCCAGAATGATTTGGTTCTCTGCAACTACCAGATTCCGGCAACCATATCCGTGTGGGCAGAAAGTAGCATTAGCTTGTCCTGAAAAAGTCAGAAAATAAACTTGCTCCAATCAACTGAATTTGTTTTGCTTTTATTCCAAGGGGTGTCCAATTTTGGCAGCTTTAAGATTTGTGGACTTCAGCTCCTAGAATTCCCCAGCCAACATTCCCTAGCCAATTCAAAAAAGGGATGGATTTTCCTTAGTTTACACTGAGGCATGATACGGCTGAGGATTGCGTCTGGTGGCATAGAGGTTGGACAATTTCTAACCTTGGCAACTTAGAATAGAATAACAGAGTTAGAAGGGACATTGGAGGTTTTCTAGTCCAATCTCTTGCTTAGGCAGGAAACCCTACACCACTTCAGACAAATGGATATCCAACATCTTTTTAAAAATGTCCAGTGTTGGAGCATTCTGGAGGCAAGTAGTTCCACTGATTAATTGTTCTAACTGTCTAGAAATTTCTCCTTAGTTCTAAATTGCTTCTCTCCTTGATTAGTTTCTACCCCATGCTTCTTGTCCCACCCTGAGATGCTTTGGAAAATAGCTTGATTCCCTCTTCTTTCTGGCAGCCCCTCAAATACTGGAACGCTGCTATCATGTCTCCCCTAGTCCTTCTTTTCATTAAACTAGACATAACCAGTTCCTGCAACCATTCTTCGTATGTTTTGGCCTCCAGTCCCCTAATCATCTTTGTTGCTCTTCTTTGCTCTCTCTCTAGAGTCTCCACATCTGTTTTACATCGTGGCAACCAAAACTGGATGTAGTATTCCAAGTGTGGCCTTACCGAGGCATTATAAAGTATAAACA